CCTTCTTCGCCGTGTGACTTCTTCCTCTTCCGAAAGATGAAAATTCAGCTAAAGGGATGGAGATTTGAGACGATAGAAGAGATTCAGGCAGAATCGCAGATGGTGCTTGACAGGCTGACAAAGAAAGATTTCCAGGGATGCTTCCAGGCTTGGCAGCGGCGCTGGGATCGTTGTGTTCACTCCCAGGTGAACTACTTCGAGGGTGATGGATGAATTTAATACCTGAGATAAGTGTACGGGTTTTTATACGCGCAGTCTGGAAACTTTCTGATCGCACCTCGTATAAGTGTATCAGTAAGCAACATAACTGTATCAAACTTGTTACAAGTGAAAGAGGCTTAAGTAACTTGTCACTGTATTGTAAAGTTACATTATAAACATAATCATACTATTGTTAATCTTTTGGTAACAGTTCATAATTGTTGATTTTCCTGTTCTGTGTCGCACCCAAGATCAGTCCTGAAGTAAACGAACAGGAGGGGCATTAATTTTCTACCCACCACATGATTGGGGGTAGACCAGTGTGCATACTTCAGCCTGGTGCACATTCACAAGAAACAGTACCATTATTTAATAATTGACCAGGGGATCATACAGACTATTGCATTACATTTGCTCTACATTTTATGAACTTACTAATCCCTTCCATGAATTAACTTTAAGCATCTTGCACGAAACGCACATTATTAGCTGACAATGATGCAATGCAGTTTTACAAAAACTTATATGTACGTTATAAATGTTAAGCACATGTAATTTCCTCTCTACCAATCATGTGGCAAATTTTTTACCCCACTGTTTACATCAGATTGTTGATGGGTGAGACAAAGTATACCAAGAGTCGTAGTATTTAGTGTTTAAGCAATGATAGTGTTCTTACTGTGCATAGTGGTGAGTCTGGAGCAGGCAAGACAGTTGCAGCGAAGTACATTATGTCTTACATTGCAAGAATATCTGGAGGTGGCACAAGAGTCCAACACATAAAGGACGTTATCCTCGAGTCAAATCCACTCCTGGAAGCATTTGGAAATGCCAAGACTGTACGAAATAATAACTCCAGCAGATTTGTAAGAATTGTTTATGAATATTCTGTTTTGTAATATAATTCAGTATACTGTGTTTTTTATGCTTTAGCATACACAAAGAATACCTTGTGGGTCCATCCATGTCTGTCATCTTAATGATGTTGTTGGATCACATTGTTCTACCTACGAAAAAAGATCATTGTTGGAGCACATTTCTGCAATAGTGTGGACTGAGGTCATTATTGGATCAAATTATTGCAACAGTGGTTGTGGATTCAATTGTTGCCATTTTAATATCATTGCTCATGATGTGACTGATGTGATGTGAAGAACATATTTGGAATTTCAACATACTTCATACGGTACACATTTCCGGTCTAGTTGTTTATGGACTCAGTATGGGTATGCGTCTCCTTTAATCTCATTCAGTCTTCCAATCAGGAACCTGATTGAACTGTGTAATAGCTTTATAGAGTCATTACCGTGATAATGAATAAAGATGTCGATGAAAGACTCTTGGGCTACGAGCCGCGTCAGGCGGCTGAAAGGCGAATAAACCATATCTTCTGCCAACAAGTTCTCATGAGCTAGTGCGCAACAAAGGAGTGGACTGATTACCCAGCAGCCCTGAGGATGAGAATAGAGATTGTTCTTGAAACGTGTAGCCTGAGAGTCTTTCATCAACTTCAGTCTCTGCAAAAGCTTTGCTTTATACTTCAGAGATGCCCTAATTTTTAAGTCACGTTTATGGCCATATGTGAGTTTTAAAATTTGTATTTATACATCTTTAGGAAATGTGCCATGTCTTGCTTCAGGTTATACAATTGGTCTTGTTGTGGTTTCATAGACCTCTTACAAAACTGGTCACAGTTTGAGAACCCATGATTGTACTTGGAATTTATGAAGTGTGACCAGGGCCTGTTCAGGTTCTTCATCGTTAACATTTACGTTGATTTGGCTTGAGTGCTTCTTTGTAGTCATACATTTGTTATGTATGTCTCTGGTATCATTGATTGGTTTTTATTTTCAGGGAAAGTATGTAGAAATTCTGTTTGGAAGTGGAGGACAACCAGAAGGGGGTCGCATTTCAAACTTCTTACTAGAAAAATCCAGGGTGACTATGCAGAATGTTGGAGAAAGAAATTTCCATATATTCTATCAGCTTTGTTCAGGTGCTTCTGATAGCATGAAGAGTAAGTTACATATTTTGAAGAAATGTAACTGCTACTGTTTCAGTATTGTTTTGGGTAGTGACGTAAGGAAAATTACAGAGCGTATTTCACAATACATTGAAAGGTCCCAGCGGATCTGAAGATATTCTGTAGTAGAATATAATTTTCCTGAAATAAGATTAAGTTGTATATGGTATCTCACAAGTTCTTCTTTTTCATATAAATAATTTTTGTTTTGCCATTCTCCGACTATGTACATTGTAGTACGAACATGGTAGTATTTTCTGTGGACGTGTGCATTGCTTGGTTAAACAAAATATAAAGTGTTTCAGAGGCTGGGTGTGATTGTTATGAAAGCACTGCTAAAAGTAATATAACAATCATGAACAAACTTAATTTTTTATTGAGAGGATAGAGTCAGAACTGGTGATATAGGATATTCTTAGTTCCTTGGTGTGCATAAAATAAATTATACGCATGAAAACCGAAAGTGACGGTGTTCATATAGATAAGACCGACCATTTCATATTATTGCTGGAATTTCTTTGTTGTACAGATAATTTATTTTAATTTTTCAGAAAACTTTGGTTTATGCCAGTTGGATTATTACCATTATCTCAGCTACGGTGGCAATCACAAAGTAGAGGGAACTAATGATGCCCATGATTTTCAAGAAACACTCCGAGGTAAGTGACAAAATGGCATTAGTATTCAGTATGTATTGTAATAATTAACCTCTTAAATCATCAATAAAAATATCTTGAATTTTTTGCTGTAGCGGGAATTAGATGTGGGAAATGACGCAATTTCACGTGCAGATACAAGAATTGCTATACCACTGGTCAAATTTTGAGAGAGTACGGAAAAAAATATAAGCATATTATTTTACCAAAGTAATAATTTCACACATTTATCTTTTGGTTTAACTAGCCATAGCAATACTATTACTATTTTAATTTCTGAATTGTTCTGAGCAGTAGTAGAAAATGTCTTTACCGAAGCCAACCGGGGCTGGTAGATATGCATAATAGTGGCGTTTCTTTGGTTCTAAATAAAGAATGTCTTAAAAAGGGTGCTGAGTAATTTGGTTCTAAAGCAAGAATGTCTTAAAAAGGGTGCTGAGTATAAATGTACAAGCCTAAATAAAGAAAGACTGAAATTTTAATTACCACAATAAGGATGATACTGAGTCTCGTTATATGTGACACAGAATGAGTCACAACATTTGATAGTGGAAGGAATGAATGTGGTGGAGTTTTCACTAACCCGTTAGTCTAAACAGGGTGAAAACCTGGAATCATACAAGCTTTTGATTTTGTTTTTGTTGTACAAAAAAACTATAAAAGTTGCTTCTGTCCATCCTCATTCCATAACAAAAATGGATGAAGTATTTTGTTCGTTATGGTTTTGATGAAGGAAGACAAAATTAGTTTTAACTGTATTTAAAGCAAATAGTTATTCTGGTTTGAAGGCATATAAAAAAGTGGTGGTCAGCTGGTTAAAATACTTGGGCTTAAGGGTTGTTTTAGACTCTAGAGTTATTAGTGTTGCATAAACACATTTAAGCAGAATATGGTAAGACTGTTTTTGACTTAATGAATAATGACATGGTGATGTTTGTATCACTGGGTCTGGGTTATTGTTATGATAGTACAGTTACTTGTTCTAGCAATGAATGTGATGGGTCTGACAGATAAGGAACAAAGCAACATCTTACAAGTGGTGGCAGGCATCCTCCATCTTGGTAATGTCATGTTCATGGAGAAGGGAAACTATTCAGAGATTCAGGATCAGGATGGTAAGTTGTTATGAATACATAAAACAAAATTGTTTGACTTCAAGAAGATTATTTTAACAAAATTATTCTGCGTGTTCCTTGCCTCACAATGAATAATTCGTAAGATTTTAGGTTTTCACAGCGGTGAGTATGAAGATTCCTGTCTTCTGGGTTGTTGCGCTGTGTAGTCTGGTCGATGTTAACCAACGTTTCAGAGGTCATACTGCCTCCATCATCAGGGCGATGAGTATGAAGATTCCTGTCTTCTGGGTTGTTGCGCTGTGTAGTCTGGTCGATGTTAACCAACGTTTCAGAGGTCATACTGCCTCCATCATCAG